ATATATCAAATTAATTTACCATACAGAGAAGAAAGTCGCAATTATAGAAAACAGACAGGGAAGTCACAATAAAAAATGGGGAGAATTCATTGATTATTTTGAAGCATAAGTTTGTATTTGTGTAGTAACATGTATTGTATTTGTGTATTGTATCTTTATTTTGTTAAGCATATTAATAAAAAAAAAAAACATTGTCTTTTCATCTGTCACAGGTTCGTACACCGTATAGTTCAGTTCCTAAACCAGCTGCATTAACTGGTCGCTTGGAAGTACGTGTAATGGGATGTCAGGACCTTTTAGAAACCGTTCCCGGCCGAACAAAAGGTCAATCTTATCACCCTGCTGCCAGTCCAAACGAAGGCAAAAGTTTACTAAAGCCTAAAACAAGTTTACGAAATAGTAGCAAATCATACAGTATAAAACAAGAGGATATCTCAAGTGAGTCTTTTATAACTTTTTCACTTTTACTCAGTGTATGATATTGTCATACATGCGCTGTCACTAGTTGGCAGGAAACCGATCAGTCATACTTGTAGATAAAATAATGACGTTCTTCGCTGCTGTTGTTAATTAAACAAGCATTTATGTGTTCCTGTTAATAAAACAATGTACAGGTATAATGTTGTCAGAGCAGATCACAGGCTACTATTGATCAGTGAGAGATATTCCAAATTAGACACTCACATGTTGGTTGGTGAAAATGTAAACAAATGCAGTCTGTCTGACAGCCTATATTATTCTGAAAGCTTAACATTTATTTTGCCTGTGAGTCAAAATCAAAGCTTCGCTACATTTATCGGATCCTTTGGGCTTTTGTTACTCGCCGACTAGGTAGATTTTGTTTGTTTGTACTGCTTTTGTTTTATAATCACTTTTCTCATTTACATAAACTTTGCACTGGTGCTGCACAACAAATGTGGTTTAATAAAACCATCTTTGAATCATTTGCCAGAAAATCTATATATATATATATATATATATATATATATATATAATTCAATGCTTTGATGTTTCCCTAAGTTTTTTTTCAGTTATTTGCAAGAAACATGACTTGTATAACAGTAATTTATGATATAAAGTACATTTTTTTCAGTGGAAGATTATATCTAATTTTCTGGATAACAATAACATATACATTTTTGTTCATTTTTTTGCAGCGGAAATTAGTGCTGTTTTAAAATTAGATAATATTCAAGTTGGTCAGACGTCATGGAAACCAATTAGCAATCAATCTTGGGATCAAAGATTTAGTGTCGAGCTTGAAAAGGTGAAATATTTAATATTATTCAATATTTCTGATAATGAACCTTAATTTTAGAGCCAACAGATGAAATTTGAGCTAATTTTCAGTTTTTACTAAAGAAAAATTGGCTATTCTAACTAAAATTTGGCAATCTCTCCATTTCTGAATTTTAGTACAATTGAGATCTGTGTACAACAAACGTATTATCAAAACTTTTGTAAAATATATCCATTGCTCAATTTAACAAATCTTTAATGAGTCTGACTCTTTTGATATGCTAAACAAGATCTAAAATTGTACTGTATTGTCACTTTTAATAGGAAACAAAATAACTACTGTAAAATGGTTAATTATTCACTGGGTTTTAATTTCGCTTATTTCGCTGACTGGAAAATGCGCTAAATTAAAACCCAGTGAATATGTAAAATTTAGCATAGAACTCATTACCTAAATGATAAAACCGTGAATTTAAAACCCACTGAATATGCCTGAAATGGTAAATCAGCGAAAATTAAACCCAATGAAAATTAGTCATTTTACACCAACATTCACACACTGCTGAAATGCAATAACCAAACACCAAGTATGAGTATTATAAACCAATTTGCTTTTTACCCATTTTGAAATTTAAATATAATACCGAACATTGACAGAAATATTTAAAATTTAACAAATTTTTATTTTTTGACTCTTTTCCATCACCTGTATTCCTTTCTAAATTTTGTTTTCTCTCTTAAACAGTCAAGAGAATTAGAAATAGCTGTGTATTGGAGAGACTGGCGCTCACTATGTGCATTAAAGTATCTTAGGTTGGAAGATTTCTTAGACAACCAGAGGCATGGAATGTGTCTTGCAATGGAACCACAAGGAATGCTTTTTGTTGAGGTATGTGCATGTTTCCTGTAATTGTTGTTTGAGGTGCCATAAAATAAATAAATTTTTTGGTCAAAAATTACACAGAAATGGGTAAAATGATGCGAAAAATTATGGCATTAAATTGAATTCTCTGTTAAAGGAAATATTTATTATTAAAGGATGGTGGTCATTGTGTGTTTGAATTTCATGTAAACGAACAATGTATTTTACATGCGTTGTGTACATCGCTATGAGTCCCATATCGATCAGAACGTGGTGCGACAACCAGCGTCCTTTAAAATGATAACATGTTATGGCCCATGTTTATCATCAAACCGACGAACTCTGCTCCTTTGTATTGTTGAAAGGTCGTTAAATATACAATTTGAATAGTTTGTCTGTCAGATGCAATTTTAGTCTTTTTTTTCCACTTAGAAATAGATTTGACATGAGTACCTAGTAGAGTAATGCAGTTGTTGTAAATTATTAATATTGCTAGAAAGCTGTACATTAAAATTAATGAACAACCAAAGTGTTTCTGTTAACCATTTTGTTTCTGTCTGTTTCGTTCATTTTCTAGATAACATTCCTTAATCCTACAATAGAACGAAAACCGAAGCTCCAAAGACAAAGAAAAATATTTCCAAAACACAAAGGTGAGACTAAATGTTGGTTTCACAGGTATAGTGTGTGAGTGAGTATTGTAGTCGTTTGTTAGGCCAGAGTCATGTCTATGTCAAAGTATGTCATTTGATTGTTAGGCCAGGGTCATGTCTATGTTAAAGTATGTCATTTGATATGTTAGGCCAGGGTTATGTCTATGTTAAAGTATATCATTTGATTATGTTAGGCCAGGGTCATGTCAATGTCAAAGTATGTCATTTGATTATGTTAGGCCAGGGTCATGTCTATGTCATAGTATGTCATTTGATTTGTTAGGCCGGGGTCATGTCTATGTCAAAGTATGTCATTTGATTTGTTAGGCCAGGGTTATGTCCATGTCAAAGTATATCATTTGATTATGTTAGGCCAGGATCATGTCTATGTTAAAGTATGTCATTTGATTTGTTAGGCCAGGGTCATGTCTATGTCAAAGTATGTCATTTGATTATGTTAGGCCAGGGTCATGTCTGTGTCATAGTATGTCATTTGATTTGTTAGGCCAGGGTCATGTCTATGTTAAAGTATGTCATTTGATTTGTTAGGCCAGGGTTATGTCTATGTCAAAGAATGTCATTTGATTTTTGATAGACCAGGCTCATGTCTATGCAACTTTTTACCATAAGCAGATCTATTTTCATGTCTCTGCAAATTATTTATTTTGAATATTAGTTTTCATGTGCGTATTAATTTTAAACATTGGGAAATGTAGAGATGTAAATCTATCATTTTATTCATAGGTAAAAACTTTCTCAGAGCGGGCCAGATGAATATCAATGTAGCAACGTGGGGTAGACTTATGAAAAGGGCCATTCCTTCTCATTCCTGTTCATCACCTACAACACTTAGTCCCCATAGCCAAGCAAGTTCACAGCCTCCCCCACTGCCAAAATCACGTCCACCAACCGTAGTACAGAAACTAGACTTTACTGAAGACTCCATGGGAGATCTGCCAAAAAGACACGATGATGTTGTACTTGAGGATCTTGAGCAGCCACTGGTCACAGAGAATGAGGTAGAGGTATGGTAAACTTAATGGATTAATATCAGACTTGACCGTTACCTGTATCAAGAACTAGGGAGCAAAGGCACAATGATTGACTCGCTTGTTTTCATGATTCAGTTGTCAAATGACGTTGGTTATGCGAATTACTTGATCGGTCGGTTGAATGATTCAGTTTATCAATTAAATGACTTGATTGATCAATTAAATGACTTGATTGATCGATTGTCTTTGTTTTATATTTATGAATGATTCATTTATGAAATGCCTCAATAATAATGTACTAAGCTGTGAAACAAGATATTATTTCAAAAACTAGTTTTAATAATTAATTAACATTTTATCAACAAAGCTATAGGGAGCTATTTCAAACCGTAAATGTCTGTTTTGTCAATGTCCTCCTCGATATATATCTTGCTGGGTCATCACAGCATCTTCAAATTTTTGTATAAAGTCACAGTCGTGTTCGTTGATGGCACTATACTAGTCATTATGTATATATTGGATGGACGCAGTTAACCATAGACCTATTTGTGCGTTAAAACCTAAAAATGCAAAAACTGGACTAATGAAAACAAGCAAATAACTGTGGTACCCTAACTTGTTTCTATGGAAACAATGACTTTGGCAGCCATTTTGAATTGAACATTGACACTCGGTACTGAGGTCTGTGATTCAAAAATTGTTTATTTCTTTGAACTTTCAAATAGGAAGCCGCTAGGAATATTACTCAACAATGTTGAATAGTTATAGTGGTATTCAAGATGTTCAACCAAAACTGACAGAACATAAATTTTGTGTTTTGACTTTTATCCTAAAAATATGTTGCTTATCTATCTTTCACAGGACGCGTTGTCAGCGTTTGAGTTTTTAGAAAATTCTAATTCAGCAGAACAGTCTTCCGACCACTCGATGGAGGAATTTTTTGATGCCCTGCCACCTCCGTCAGAATTTAGGTAAATGTCACCAAACTTTGTTATTTATTTGTCAATGATGTTTATGATCCTGTGACTATTGAATTAGTCTGAAATGTTCCCATGGTATTGTTCTGAAGTCATGGAGACAGCCAATCAGTGTTGGTGTTTCATGCAATTTTCTCTCATCTGTATTATAGTACACTGACATTTTCATGTGTTTCATGTGTTGTCTCTCAGACTGTATTAATATTAGACTGACGTTAGTGGCGTTTCATGCCATGTTCTTCAGACTGTATTAATATTACACTTACGTTAGTGGCGTTTCATACAGTGTTCACTTTACCGTAACTTACCCGTGTTTGTGTATGTTTCTATTGCCTTCATGTAACAGGACCACACCTCGTCGGTAAGAAAAAAAACATGCTTCCTGTCTCCAACCAATACACCCTTTGATTTGCCTACCTCTGAAATACAAATACGCTTCGTCTTCTGATTATTAGAAGTAGTTTTCCGTAATTCTTCTGTATCTTCACTGCACTGCACTGCACTGTACTGTGTATTGTACTATAATTTATAATGTATGTTTTGCATGGTTTCTCAGACAGAACTAAAGTAGTTTGTTTAGTTACACCCCAACAGTGCTTATCAGAAGGTGCTTCATATAAAATATTTCAAATGCGAAATAAATGCTGTAGAATTGTTTTACTTTATATATAGTGATTGACTGTCTACGGAAAAATGCACAATTGTTCACTTTTTTGTGTCTGTCTTTGCTAATAAAATAACATTAGCGGAAAGTATCATTTTCCCAGTTGGTCCAATCCTACCCACACACATGCACACTAAAACTATGGCGGTGCAGACTTTTGCTCACCTTACTCCTGAGCTGTGCACCAAAATTTAGAATAATATCTCACGGACTAATACATTTCCCTTTTTTTTTTTCAGCACTTTTATAAGTATGGATAACTTCCGTTGCATCAGCGTGCTTGGTCGAGGTCATTTTGGTAAAGTACTTTTAGCTGAATATAAAAACACTGGTGAGATGTTTGCCATAAAAGCCTTAAAGAAAGCCGATATAGTCGCTAGAGATGAAGTAGATAGGTAAATATTCTGAATAAATGTTGGTTGCCAAGACTTGTCTTTTCCCCTTGCATAGTAACAATTCCATTCTCTTCTGTATCCATGTCAACAGTGGACACAACGAGCAGCAAGTCGACTTTTGTTACATATTTTTTTTTTTTTTTAGCTCTGCTGTTGACTTTGTCGAGCGGAGCTTATCAAATGAGTGATTGTCCGTCGGCATCCATGTCAATGTTTTACTTTCTCGGCTTCTTGAAAACTATAAGCCTGAATGCTTTGATACTTGGTTTATATGTACCTGGAGTATCCCTCTTTTAGATTTGTTCATTTCATGATGATATCTTCAATTCTCTAATTTTGGTGAATATTTTTGTTATTTTTGGTAAAAAGTGATATTTTCAACTTCTTGTTAAAAACCGCAAGTTCAATTGCTTTGATATAACATATATAGGTACTACATGTGGACCTCTCTCAGATTTGTTCATTTCATGATGATATCTTCAATTCTCTAATTTTGGTGAATATTTTTGTTATTTTTGGTAAAAAGTGATATTTTCAACTTCTTGTTAAAAACCGCAAGTTCAATTGCTTTGATATAACATATATAGGTACTACATGTGGACCTCTCTCAGATTTGTTCATTTCGTGGTGATATCTTCAATTATCTAATTTTGATGAATATTTTTTTTATGTCCATTTCGGCTAAATTATCAAAAAAATACATAAAAAATACATAAAAACAGACAAAAAGTTGCATCAAAATTTTGGTGGGAAATATGGGTCAAGTTCAATGTGGGCAATTTTTATTTGCATAAATAGGAATGAACTACAACTTCCTGCTTCTTTCTCTATTTCAGCTTGATGTGTGAGAAGCGTATTTTTGAAGCGGCAAATGCCATGAGGCATCCATTCCTTGTCAATTTATTTGCATGTTTCCAGGCTGACCAGCATGTGTGTTTCGTAATGGAGTACGCATGCGGGGGTGATCTTATGATGCATATACATTCTGATGTCTTCACAGAGCCAAGGACAGTGTGAGTTATTTACCTTCGTTTTACCATGCAGTCTGTTTTCAACTTTTATTTTGTCAATAGCGCCCCCAACCTAGTGTTACATTTTTCCTTTGTTTTTATGCTTGGCAGTTGATCATAAATGTTATTGCTGTCCACCACGATGGTAATGAGTAGAATGATATCCATCATATGTAATATTGGTTGTCGTATGTTTTGTTTTCAGTTTCTACGCAGCGTGCGTGGTGCTAGGTTTACAATATCTTCATGAAAATAAAATAGTTTATAGGTGAGTATTGTAATTCATTCATGCATTATTACATCATTGTGAACAAAAATATTACAATCCAAGCATTTTTTTTTTTGTGTGTGCATTTGATAATTTCCCATAGAATTTCACCAACATTACTAATCCAAGATGGCTGCAAAATGGCATCCTGTTTATTCATACATGATTGTTTGTTGCTTATCATGTCTATTTCAAATTTTAGAGTATTTCAAATGTTTACATTGGCAGTAATGAGGCTAAATCAATCAGCTGTCAATCACAAAATAGTCTCGTTTATAGTCTGCACTTGGACAAAAATAGCCAAATTTTTTGAGTAAAAGCTGAAAATTGACTCAAATTTTGTTTCTTGGCACCAAAATTGTGGTTCGTTTCTAGAAATACTGAAGAATACAAGAAAAAAGTGCAGAAAAATATTGACGAGAAATTCTAGTGGTGAAAAGGTTAATTAAAAATCATGAATTGTAATGAACATCTCTCTTTTAATTTTTAGAGATTTGAAATTAGATAATCTCTTGCTTGACACGGAGGGGTTTCTTAAAATTGCCGACTTTGGTCTCTGTAAAGAAGGTATGGGGTACGGTGACCGGACGAGTACGTTCTGTGGAACCCCAGAATTCTTGGCGCCAGAGGTCTTGACGGAGCCCTCATACACTCGAGCTGTGGATTGGTGGGGGCTTGGTGTTCTTATATTTGAAATGCTGGTTGGAGAGGTAAGTGGAAACATGATATCAGAATTCGCAAAATTAATAAACAAAAAGCGTTAACAGGAAAACAATTAACATATAACGATGTTTGATGAATTCCCAAACTCAGTGATACATCTTTGATTTGGATAGCAAGCATGCTTCTCAAAGCAAATACACTGTTGCTGTATGTCATAATTTGCTTTCTCCAAAAGTACAATTTCAGGAAGTATTATGGTCTGTTTTTTTAGCTCCGCTGTCGACTTTGTCGAGCGGAGCTTATCATATGAGTGATTGTCCATCGTCGTCCGTGTCAAAGTTTTACTTTGTATTTTGTAATGATATCTTTAATTCTCTTAATTTTGGTAAATATTTTTGTCATTTTTGGTAAAAAGTGATATTTTCGACTTCTTGTTAAAATTGACAAGTCCAATTGCTTTGATATTACATATATAGATACTACATACGGACCACTCTCAAATTTGTTCATTTCATGATGATATCTTCAATTTTCTAATTTTGGTGAATATTTTTGTCATTTCTGGTAAAAAGTGATATTTTCAACTTCTTGTTGAAAACCGCAAGTCCAATTGCTTTGATATTACATATATAGATACTACATATGGACCACTCTCAAATTTGTTCATTTCATGATGATATCTTTAATTCTCTAATTTTGGTGAATATTTTTGTCATTTTTTGTAAAAAGTGATATTTTTGACTTCTTGTTAAAAACCGCAAGTCCAATTGCTTTGATATTACATATATAGGTACTACATGTGGACCTCTTTCAGATTTGTTGATTTCGTGGTGATATCTTCAATTATCTAATTTTGATTATTTTTGGTGAAAAAAGTCCTGTTGCTTTGATACTATACATATTGTTCATTTTCTAATGATATCTTCTGTTCTTTAATTGCAATGAGCATTGCTAACAGCAGAGCTATCTCAGCCGATAGGCAGCTTGTTTTTTTTTTACATTACCAGTTTCTCATCTCTGTTTATTTAGTCTCCCTTCCCTGGTGATGATGAAGAGGAAGTTTTTGATAGCATAGTTAACGATGAAGTACGCTATCCACGATTTTTATCAACGGAAGCCATTTCAATTATGAGAAGGGTAAGTCATTCTTAAAATCCAATTAAAGCCTCCATTGATAGCTGAAATGAATTGGAAAAAACTGTGCCAGGCGATGTGTGGACTATGCATTTCTTCAGTTGCTGTTTTAGTCGAGGGGGGGGGGGAGCAATATATACCAGGACTGTGTGACAAAACCTAATAGTGAATAGCACAAAATCACAGCTGTAGACTTCATTTTAACAGATCTGTGTACAATGTTTTTTCTTGCTTTGTATACATTAGTCTACGTTAACACACCTGCTGCAATTGATGCATAACAAATTGTGATTTATCATTTCCAGCTGTTACGCAAAAATCCTGATAGGAGGTTAGGTTCTAGTGAACGAGATGCCGAAGATATCAAGAAACAAGCGTTCTTTAGGGTGCGTATCATTGTTACCATATTGTTGCTGTCAGTTCCATGATTGTCACCATGTATACCCAAATAAAAATCATGATTATAAATATTGACCATCGTCTCACTATATTTCTTTCACTGCTACTGTAGCTCTTGATCTTTTCATATCCCTTTGTAATGGTATAATGGCTTACCACTTTTCTGTTGCCACCTCTGACAAAATCTGGCCTCTATGAAAAATAGTCAACTAAAATTGATTACCAAATAATAATACAAAGCAATATCAAAACTAACATTGAATTTGTTGAATACTTACAAATAAGCATTGAAAATTGGGTGAGAACAAATGTCTTGCTGTGAAAGTTTTTTTCTAATAAATATTTTTATTATCACTTTTCTATGCTGGTCTGACGCATTTGTTTCATACATTTTTCCTCCATAGAATATTAATTGGGAGGAGCTGTTAATGAGGAGAGTGAGACCGCCGTTTGTTCCTACAGTGGTAAGTACACGTCATTTCTGATTTGCGCAAGCTGATAAATGCAAGTGCAATCTGGTGTTGCCATAGAAACCTTCTACATGTATCATTATTTGTACCAAGGGTGACATCAGTCTTATTTGGATATTTTCAGCACTTTTTAGTCCTTATCGGACTTATGGATTGACCTGTGTGCATGTGTGCGTCCGGACCTACATCTTAGACATGCCTGGATATAATTACATTCAAACTTCACACATACATCTTACAAATTATTGTACATACAGTACAGTTCTCGCGGAAGCTTTGGCTTCCACTTCAGCTTCACTTTCGCTTCAGCATCGCATCATTATGGCATTGTTAATGGCTTCAGCATCGCTTCAATTGTCGCGACATTAAAAAGTTAGGGCGATTATCGCTTCGCTTCATTGTGGCCTCATTATGGCGACAATGTGGCATCAGCATCGCTTCATCAAACAAAGAAGTACTGTACTCATTTCCTCCAAACCTCTTGACCGCTTCCGCTTTTGACCAGTCAATTTCCGTTTTATTTTCGACCGTGCAAAAATTCGGACTACTAAAAATTTTCTGGTTTTCATAGATCACGGTTACTAGTTTAGTAACCGTGCATAGATGTTGAACAACCGTCAAAAGTTCAAATACTTTTTGTTTTAACTATCTATAATTATATGCACGCAATCTGACCCTTTGACCTAGATTTGGCTGGGATTGAATATTTTATTTTAGACAATATTCCGACGTGACGCACTGCTATAAAATGTATTCAACAGAAGTACAACATGGTTGTCTGGGTTTCTTTTCCTGATTGTGTTGAGTTTACGATTTGTATAATTATTGTTGTTTCCCCCCAAGCAGAAGACAAGCCGAAGGACCATGAAGCTAAATAGAATTCCCACGCATGGACGTGGACTGAGTGAAAGAAAATATTTCTAAGGCTAAAATAATCAAAGAAAGCTTAGAAAGAACTCCCATGTGCTGAGAGTATTGGAGACACATTAAATATAATTCGAAATTACTTAGCTGAAAACTAATTATGCAAATCAGAAAATTAATATGACCAGATTTGAGTGTAAAACTAATGAGGTCTGCGCAATGTAACAGAAAATCTATGTCTCCAAGTTTAATTGAAATGTGATTAGAACCAAAAAATTATGAATTATTATGCTTATTAGGGAATTAATATGAACAGATTTTTACCCCAAACTAATTAGTTTGTACATTGTCCTAGAGCATCTTTGTACTAAGTTTCCTTGAAATGGAATAATTAGTACCGTGAAAACTCCAAAATTTCGACC